AACATTTCCATGAAACATTTTGATTTTTTTCAGCTGTAATTTGAATACCAAAAATTTTTTTGGCCAAAAACTGAAATAATTTATTTTTAATGAAGAATTAAAAATTTCCACAGAAAGCAGATATTTTTATGACATTTTTGTTTAGTCAGAACCCCAATTTTCCATTGAAAAAGTCATGATGGAAAATTTTCAGCCAGCCTTACTTCTGAGCATCCATCAAGCTAACATGGTCTCTGCAAACCATGCACCACTCCCTCCTCTGCTAACTTTTTGTAACACCCTAGGTAGAATGTTTCTACCCTGTGCCTATAATCTCTGAAGAGTTCTGAATGCTTTTATATTTCAGATATGTACTAAACCCACTCAACCATGGTTGTGTAAATTTTCCCACACTGTTCTTTCCCATTTTTCAGTCAACAGCATTTATAAGTGACAGGGTCCAATTTCCTATTAATACAATTTTTTCCTCCTTTGCTTCCAGCAGAACATCTGCCCTGCTTCTCATCACAAATGTCAATAATCTCTATGCCAGTCTAACCAACATCTGGAAACTGAATGAAGTAGCAAGCACCAAGAATTCAAAATCCTAGTTCTAGTCTCAGACATTGGAGTGCCACTGTACTGAAATGTGCCACTTTACCACAATGGAATTTTTGTTTTATTTAGGAAAAATATTTTAACTGGCAAAGGATTACTGACCTGAGTGAAAAGCTTCATCTCAGTTTAGGAAGGAAAGGGAGAAGGCATAAAATTTTACCATGAAATATTAGAAATAAATTCTTAGCTGATAAATATGATCCTAATAAAAAAATTTCCTCTTTAAAAAACAATCCACAGTAATAACCCAAAATTAAAGCTTTTTCATCCCACCTTTTGGTAACTTTTAGACCATCAAAAAACAGGTAGCTCTGTAATTCCACCCTTTAACTCTTTTTCATCCCACCTTTTGGTTAACTTTTAGACCATCAAGAAACTGGTAGCTCTGTAATTCCACCCTTCAACTCTGAGGAGCTGGTAAGTTATTTATGGAACAGAAAGCAATTGTGGACACATCTGCATCATTTTCACATGATTACTTTAAGTGTCATTTTAATGAAAATCTGTAGATTTAACTATTCTCAAAGCAATTGTCTACCATTATTATAGAGATTAATATCACCAGCAACAGCTATTGTTTCTTCATCACTAATTGGGCATGCAAACTAGAGGTTAAGAATCTGTCAAAACTTAAACTGAATATATCACTTTATAACACTTTTTTCCCCTGTAGAGAGGAAAGTACTGACTCTGTTTCTGCTACAGATGTAGTTAATGGCAAAGTGCTCAGTGAATTCAATAGAGGCAGGATTGGTCCAGTGTGTGATACTGCCAGATGTAGATTATAACATGAAAGATTTTAGATGACTTGGATGCAGTTGGGAGCTAGAATACAGTACCCTTCCATGAGACAGCTAATCAACAAGGTACTTAAGCAAGTGCTTAAATTTAAGTACCTGAGCAGACTGAAACCAGTGGGGACTACTCACATGAAGTCCCTTGGTGAATCCCTTGAAAGGGAGCACTATTTTCAAATTAATTCAAGGCACAAAAACTGTCCTTTGATTTAGTTTCTACACACTACCTGCAGTTGGTGTTTCTCTCAGACTTAAAGCTGCTCTGTAACAGAATGCATGTATTATGGACCAGATTCTGCCACACTAATTCAGTTACACTTTGAGTTTCTTTAAGGTGTGAGCATGAGGAAGAATGGCATTTTTCAATATTTTTTATTCTTTTAAATCAAATTTAAAGGATCAAACCTTATTGTTTGCTAAAATATGCAGCATTTGGCTATTCATTAGAGAGCTAGAGAGTTGTGCTTAGTCAAGAAAACTAAGTCAACAACTGAAGAATATGTTATTAGTTTGACAGCAACAAAAAAATCACACCATAAAATATTTATTAAACAAAGGGTTTTTTCTTCACTTGTAAGAAACACTTTATGTCAAGTGCCCTGTAAGAGATTTAAAAACTTTACCAAATGTTAACATTGATTTTACATTATTATACACAAGATATAAAACACCACATCTCACAAACTTCCTTTTATTACAGCTCAGGGTTTGGTTTTTTTCCCAACAGTTGTAAATTAATTTCTACATACTTAAATTTAACTTAAAAGTTTTAAACAAGTAAACAATGTACAAAGTGATTCACCTGAATTTCATAAATCAGAGCAGGTGTCCTTAACAGGGCATGTGCAATGAATGCAGTGCATTCTGGGAGAGAGAGAAATAGAGAGCTAACTTATTCACAGTTGAAAAAGCTAACATCAGGCTCTGGGAAACTGTCTTCCAGAAAAGAAACAATGGACATGATCCTGTGAGATGCTGAGCACCTTTAATTCCTCTTGAAGCCAACAAAAGTTGAGGGCATTTAGGCCTAGATCTAAAAGTATTTAGACGTTGCTCTGTACAGCACTGAAAGGTCTAGTTCCTCAAAGTTATTTAGATGCCTACTTCCCATAGGAGTTGGGTGCTTAGGTGCTTTTGAAAATCCCACTAGGTGCCTAATATTCTTAAGACTTAAAATGCTGAGCAGAGCAATGTCTAAATACCTTTAAAAATTTGGGCTTCAGTGCTTTGTAGGAGGTACCCAGCACTTCTCAAGATCAGCCCCAGTCTTTTCTAGTCAAAAGAAATAAAGTGGCTCAAAGGATGCCTCTTTCTTAAAAGTTATATATGCTGTACTATTGTTATGGTATCAGCCAACAGTAGCAGACCTGATGTAAAATACCTACTCCTTTTCTTATTTCAGTGGTAAAGAACATCTCTTCCTTTTGCTTTTTTGTGTTGCATGTTTACAAATAAACCATTAGATCTGACATACAGTCCATGTAACAAAATTGTTAGTATCAGATTCATTGCAACATAAGGAATCAGTATCAGACAATAAGAAAATATTTTATCAGTTCTAGTCTGGTTAAAGCAATTTAATGTTTTCAGTATGCCCTCAATACTATACTGTCATTCCAAACATAAAGAACAAATTGATTGAAATGCAGATTAATTTAAAAACGATGAAAGCAGCGTTAAAGACACTGTGGGTTTTGTTTTAAAGAAGTATGAAATGCATGTTACAATTAACACAAACAGATTATTCCTTGTACAGTAAAAGCTTTTTCATCCAGCATGTTGGTGGTGTGGGGGGTGCCGGTAAGTGAAAAATTCTGGTTAACTAAGAGGGAGAGAGTTTGGGTGCGGGGCTGGAGGTTGGGGCACGGGAGGGGGTGTGGGCCCTGGGAGGGAGTTTGGGTGTGGGAAGGGGCTCGGGGCAGGAGGTTGGGACACAGGAGGGTGCAGGGTGCCAGATCCAGGGGGTGCTCACCTCGGGCGGCTCCCCGCCAGCAGCAACCTGTCCCTGCTGCCCCTAGGTGGAGGCGCAGCTAGGTGGCTCTGTACGCTGCCCCTGCCCTGTCCCAAGCACTGGCTCTGCAGCTCCCATTGGCCAGGAACTGCAGCCAATGGGAACTGGGGGGGGGGGCCCTGCGGGCGGAGGCAGCGCGCAAAGTTGTCTAGCCACGCCTCCACCTAAGAGCAGCAGGGACAGGTCGCCACTTTCGGGGAGCCATACGGAGCCAGGTATGGAACCTGCCAGCCACATGACAACCAGACTATAAACCGGACTTTCTATGAAGATTAGAAATGCCGGTTTATAGAGCTTTCCGGTTGGTACAGGGCCGGATACACAACTTTTACTGTATATTGGTTGCTTCTTTAAACTCAGGAGATTATCTATTTTATCACAAATGGAATCAAAGGTTTTAGTGCAAAGTCACCCTCTGCAACATGCCATCTGCTTGAAGGCTTAAAGATTTCTACATTGTGCAGAAATATTTCATTTATAAAGCAATTATACAAAATGAAAAGCTATTAGGACTTGAGTGTTTTGGTTGTTCTTTTGTTCATTTTCAACGCAAATAACAAAAAAATAGTTTTTCCAGAAACTGACTCCTAGTCTAGCTGTGCAAATCATTCCAAATTCAATTTGGATTGGCAATATTTTAGCATCAGAACAGGTCAGCAGGCCCTGGAGTTCAGAAAGGTTTGGGTTAGAATGAATCCCATTTTCCCATGGTTGAATTGCATTACAAACCCATGGGTAAGATCTTGGTTTGACATGTTTGTGCACATTCACACAGGTTTATGTTTCACAGGAAGTGGGATTAGTAGCCCTATTTGAAGATACTACATCACCTTTCTCTGCAAGAACAGTTCAAACTTGAAATGCACAGGACAACGGCAGTATCAAAGATTTTGATCAAAGCAAGAACTTCATATCTGTTTTTTATTACAGTTCACTGAGATAAACAAAGACTGTGCAAACCCCTATTGGTTCCTGAACATGAGTCAAACTCAAATCGAGAATGATTCCAAGTGCACTGGAAGTTAGAGCTGAATGTTTTACACACTTCTAATTCCTACATAAATATAAGGGACAAAGAAAATAATCTGTGAAAAACTAAGAATAACACCTCATTCCACCTTGAACCTAAGGTGAGTAAGAAATCATAGGACTTGGTAGCAGGTTTCTAACTTACAATAATTGCACGGTTTAGTCTTCCAGTGACAATGTGATTGTCTGTAAAGCAATATGAAATGTTGTAAAGGAGTTGGGAGAGAGGAGGAGAAGAGAGGTTTCTTAAATACTGTGATCTTGTACAGTGTAACAAAACTCTTTTTATGAAGTAGCCAAATGCTTTGACCGTGCGATACCTGAAGGGCACTTAACGGCTCAGGCATTTATCTCTCACACACAGTTATCTGAAATGCATATGCATCTTCAGCATAATCCATTGCCACTGTTAATCATGAATTGGAATGGAAGCATATCTGGAAATGGTAATTCAAAGATATCGTTACACAGTTTTTGGCAACTGAATCCAATGTAAAGAAATGGGTTATAAACACTGTCTGACATGCATGAGTCTTTCAAAATTATTTACAAATGAGGTTCTACAAGCTTTATTCCAAAAGTATTTCTCCTCTGCTTAGGTGCTAAAATATGTGATTTTTTTTTTTTTAAGTTACACAGTCACTGCTGGGTACATCTTCTGTTCACTATTGGCATGGGGATAGGGAGACTGAATCTGCCTGTATCCACTTTGCAGACCATCCAGGAAAGGTGGCACCGGGGTCATAGGCATAGAGTCATGTTGGACAGCATAACCTACATACTGTGGGTGCAGATACTGCCCTTGATGTGGCACAATCTGGGTAGCCTGCTGGCAGTTCAGTACTGAGAAATTAGTAGGCATGTTGACATAGACATTATTCATGGTCCCTTCTGGCAAACAGCAGTTGGTCTGTGACCTAGTGGGGGGTGCTCTGGCACCTGAGTTGGCACTGGAACTGGAGCTGGCAGCAGTACTCGATTGACGAGAAGAGGAACCACGGGAGGTACTGGCACTTGGAATCATGGGAATAGTCTCCATCAGCCGATTACCTCCAGGTGCTCGGCTCTGCTGTGGCTCTTGCTTGGGTCGCAGGCATCTGCAGCAACAAGCTGCTACGAGAGACCCCAAGATGATAAAGGCAACAAAAACAGATCCAACTATAAGGAATGGCACATAAATGGGCACTACAAAGAGAAACAAAACCACTGTTATTAGGAGTTGCTACGAAGGCCAAACCTAAAAAACAAAGTTATACAAAGAGAACAAGAGAAATGCTTATTTCTTTCAGTCACTCAGCATTAATATACTCAAGTCCTCCAGGGAGAAATGATTCTGGAAACTAAACATTCCACTTTCTACTTTTAATAAAAGGACTAAAGAAAATATAGATGCTGCAAAAACTAATGGTTGGGATTTTCAAAGTGCTTAAATTGGAGCTCTGCCCACAGAGAAAGGATGGCAGGCCGGGACTTCCAAGACCTGGTTTAAGTCCTTGTTCTACCACTGCCTTCTTGTGCGATCTTTGGAAATTAACTAGGAAATTCATCAGTCTCTGTGTCCCACTTAGCTACTCCCCTTCCTCACAGGTTGTCTTAAAGACTATGAGATGCTCAAAATGCTACAAAAAGGGGGACCACATCTCTCTTACAGCCAACATGGCTGGGACTCATCCTTTTCATTTAAGACTGTCAGCCCCAAGACTTAAGTATTACTAACCCTTGAGATGGCATTACCTGACCACATTAACTGGAACAATTACTAATGAGATGTGCAGGACACAAGGTCAAGAGGACAAGACAGTCACAAAGACTAGTGACAGCTATCAGATCATGGTGAGCAGCAAATAAATCTAATACGTGATTTTTAGAAAAAATGACTTGTTTTTAACAGAGTCTTATCTTCATTGAAACTGGAATGGCTAACATTAGAGTCACTTACACAGGCATAATTATTAAACTAAAGGCTGTTTAACCTATCATTTTTTGTAATTTTAACACCTTTTAACAAACAGTTTCTAGTATCATTGTTTATTTAGACTATCGTGATTGGTTAGAAGTCATTTTGAAATCCTGTGTAATAGAAGTTACTTTTCCTGAAACAGTTGTTCCCTTTCAAAGTTTTTTTTCCCTTTCTTTTTTAATTGGAAGTGCAAACAAAGCTGAAGGAATGATTAAGTATACTGCTGCTATATAGATCTGACACAACTTGTTCAAGACATTCTGGAGACAAGTGGTGTTGTCATTTAAATAAATGCAGAACTTAAAACCAATCAAAGGTTTTGTCATTCTTAAAGTATCCAAACTCCTTGACAGTAACTTAGCTTTTTACGTTTCCGATTTTAATAGTTGCAAATGATGGACTAACTGACAAGTTTCTTATTTGGAATCCAAAGATTTGACATTTGCATTTCTGTCCTACTTTTATCATTACCCAGATAACAAACTGAGGATGTGTGTGTGTGTATGTCCTTCTGTTGTTGTTATAAAAAAAAAAAAGTGTTTGATTTACATTTAAGGCAGAAACATATTCTCTTATTTTGTCTCATTTTTCAACTGATCCTACTGCCAGAAGTATTAGTAATAAAAAATATGTGCTGTAAAACTAAGGGGAATTACCCATAACTACATGTGGATTCACCATGACCAGCCAAATCTTGGTCCCTCTGAAGTCAATGGCAAAACTCCCTACAGGTCTATTAACAACATCCCAGGTAGCAGTTAAAGGCTCAGCTGTCATAGGCAGGGCTGAAAATGAGGGGTTGCAGCTCCCCTCGTTAAAAGATGTGTCAGAGATGTAGGAATGTTTGCCAGTCAGCCCCTGCTCCCAAGAAGTCTCTGCACTCAGGGCTTGTACCCAGGTCACTAGGCAATAGGCTGACGCCATTAACCCTGCAGGGCCGAGGCAGGCACTAGGTGCCCTAGATCGGCATTTCTTAGCCCTTTCGCCCGCGGCTGCTCTCAGACCTATGTTCAGGTATCTGTGAAGGTAGAGCCTGGGCTCACCATGACACCTGGCAGCCAGACTGGCTGGGGGCACTCTGGATTAGCAGTGCCAGCGCCTCCTTTGGCCCGGGGGCTCGGAGTGGCTAAGCTTGGCTGTCCCATAAGCATCCTCCCATGAGGGGCTGAACTGCCTGCTCGCCTGGCTGCCCCGCGCCCATGGTGCCCAGCCCCGGCGCGTCGGGCTGGACACGCTGCAGAGCCGCCAGGGCTGCGGGAGGGGGCTGCGCTGGGCCAGGACGGGGTGGGGGAGGAAGCCGCGTACCTGCTGCGCCATCCGGGCCGTCTTTGTCCGGCCGGCCTTGCTCGTCTGCCCCCTGCTGCCGGTCGTTGTCGCACACGCCCTGGTCCAGCCTGGCCTCGGCGCTGGAGCAGCAGTAGCGCAGGGCGCAGCTGCCGCAGCAGATGGTGGCGTCCCCGCCGTCAAAGCGCTCGGGGCACTGGAACCCGTCCCGCCAGGCGCCCTGCGCGTCCAGCCAGCCGTGGCAGTACTCGCCGCTGGCCCCGGCCCCCGCCGGCAGCAGCCAGCCCAGCGCCGCCAGCAGCAGCCAGCAGCGCCCGCTCCACATGGCACCGCTCAGCGGCGGCGTCCGGGGCAGCAGCGCGCCCGGCAGAAAAGGGGGGTGGGTCCTCAGCACGCACGGGGCTCCTCTGCTAGCGCCCACCTGTGCAAGGGGGGAGACAGCACCCAGCTGTCCCGGGTGTGTGTGTGTGTGTGTGGGGGGGGGCGGGTTGTGGACACAGCACCCCGCCCCGGCGGGGGGGGGGGGGGGGGCTGGTTGCGGACACAGCACCCCGCTGTGGAG